GGGCACGCACGACGTTGTGTCAGCAGCTCCCTCCCAATTACGAGGACAAACTTGCTTTGTTCCGCACATTCAAACAAAGATAGCGGAGAATTCCATCAGCCCAGATGAAATAATAAATATGGACGAAGACCCTCTGACATTTGATTTGCCTCTCACTCGGACTGTAAATAAAAAAGGTGACTTCCCCCGTCATACTGAAAACAAGAGGCCACGAGAGAACACATTTTACCTGTGCTTTGAGCCGCGCAGCATCGGGCCTAAAGTTGCCAACGATGATCATTTTTAAGCGGCTGACTATAGAGATAATTTCATATATCTTTTCCCATTTATATGATTTGCATTATTCTATTTAAAGCCTTGTGGGCTGCAGTATTTCTCCTCGTAATTAGGCAAATGCGCATCAAGATCTCTCTTTGTCTGGCCTCTTATGTGTTTCAGCGTAATTTCGTTTTGCAAATGCATTTATCATGCTCAGAAAAATATGTAGATTATTTTAACCTTAAGAAATGTTGCGTTTTTTTTCTGCGGGGGTTCAGCGTCACCCGGAGGCTCCCGGCGGCAGGGACGCAGAAGCAAACCCCCGCCTACTCATTGGCCAGCGGTTTATAGTACGGTGCGGCACATATAATTACGAAATTTATTTTTCTTCATAAATCTGAGCATGCGGCTCTTAATCAGGTGCGGTCTGTAGCCCGGAATTTACGGTATTCTACACATTTTTACAGCATTGGAAAACGTTAAGGATGTTTGTGTCATGTTTGTCCTCCTACAGAAGCCATGTTAAAAGAAAAAATATATTTCCCTCCCCCATCTTTTTCCGTTTTCAAACATTTTTGAAAAAGCTCCAGGTAGCCACTCGAGCAGTGCTAAAGAGCCGCATGTGGCTCCAGAGCTGCGGGTTGCCGACCCCCACAAAAACAAGCGTTATTGTTTGAAATTCGATCCTGTGCCGTGCTGTAAATTGCACACGATGGGATTACCGATTTGGTCCATTTATTCCCGCTAGCATTGAGAGCACACATCATAGTGGGTTGGTGTCCGACATCAGGGGTCCCCAACCTTTTTTGCCCCACGGACCGGTTTATGTCAGACAATATTTTCACGGACCGGCATTTAAGGTGTGGCGGATAAATACTATAAAATAATATGGTAAGAGCTGCATGAACACTGCAGTGTTTTCGAGAGATAATAATAAACACGAGGAGCGTCTAATCTGGCCGCAACACTCTGATCGCTATGGTAATGTTTAATGCCTTCAAAATACGATACAACGCAAATTCAAAGTGCATGAAAATTACGACTCACCGCAGCCCCGAGTTTGATTTTCTGCAACTGGGCGGTCCCATCTCGGGGTAATAGGAGACAATGACACCTGAAGTGTGTGCTTTATGTCGAGTCTACTTCGTAATTTTGTTTTAGTCGCTGTTGCTGCACAAAACCCCCGCCTCACACAGGTAGCATGTCGGAAATAGCAACAGTGCTATAGTAGCGATCTCAGAGTATTCAGCCATAACTTGAATCCAGAACACCGGCAGAGTTGTTGTCTTGAACGTACTTTTAAGGCCGCCGTCATTTGCGATCTCCAGCAGTTTATTTTACTCATTTAGCAAGCTCCGGCGTTTTGTTTTTAGCGTTATCAGTCACGTGACGGAGAAGCGTGCTTTGACGTGCATCAAGAGTGACACAGACGGATGTAACGGAGAATCGGGTAATTTTTCAAAATAAAATATCTTTTGTCTTCCAAAATTAATACAACGGAATTAAAGTAAATTCTTATTGTGCGGCTCGGTACCAAATGCCCCGCGGACCGGTACCGGTCTGCGGACCGGCGGTTGGCGACCCCTGTCCTACATCATGTGTCAAACTCAAGGCCCGCGGACCAGATGTGGCCTGCCATGTCATTTTATGTGGCCCGCGAGAGCTTAAAAGTTGAGTGTCTAAAAATAAATACCAAAAAATAAATTCATTAACATATGCTGCAGTCGATGTAAATAAGTTTATATAACGCAACATTCAATTTTACAAAAATTGTAAAAGTATTATTCCTGAATATTTATTTTACTTTCAACCACTCGACATGTTCAGTGGCATCAGTGCTATACATACACATATAGTTCTTATTTTTTTCTTTGTATTTTTGCCCTCTATGGACAATAAAAGCGGTATTGTGCTATGACCAAAACATAAATATAAATCTATATAAATAAAACATGAATTGGAATATTTCATATCACACAATTTTTATGCTTTGTCTTTGATTTAAAGATGACAATACGCAAAAATCTACAAAAATTGTAGAAATTGTAACACATGGGTTACGAGCGCGCTTTGACCAAAAACTACATTTCCCACAATGCCTTTCAACTACGCTAACCACGGCAGTGTCCATGCCAACGAGTGGAATTGAGATATAAATAATGAGACCAAAATGTCCAGAAAGAGAAAAGTTGATGCAGACGGAAGACTGTTTCAAGAAAGATGGGAAGGCGAATACTTGTTTGTGCTTCAAGGAGAAAGACCGGTATGTCTTTTGTGTTACGAGACGGTGTCGGTTGTCAAAGAGTACAATCTGCGTCGACATTTTGACACCAAACACAGAGCTAAGTACGCTAAAGCAAGCCTTCAAGAAAAGCAACAAATTGCTCAAGAATAAAAGGCAAACTGCGGTCGCAGCAGAGTTTGTTCTTGAAATCCACAGCCAAAAACGAGGCCGCGGTGAAAGCTAGCTTCATTGCGGCTGAAGGAATCGCCCACGCTTCCAAGTCTTTTTCAGAGGGAGCGTTTTTGAAGCAGTGCATGCTGAAGGTCTATGAGCAGGTGTCCCGACCAGTTACAGACTTTTAAAAATGTCAGTTTATCAAGAAACACCTTCGCCGACCGAGTGAAGGAACAAGCAGAAAATCTTGCAACACAGCTGGCCGAGGAGACACGCAGCTACACAGCTTTTTCATTTGCTGTTGATGAAAGAACAGATAACACGGACACAGCGCAGTTATCAAATTTTATTAGAGGCGTAAAGTTGGACCTCTCTATCACTGAGGAGCTGTTGGATGTGGCTGCAATGCATGGCACCACGACGGGACAGGACATTTTTGATACGGTGGAGAAGTCCGTAAGTAAAAATGCATTGCAGTGGGAAAACTTGGTAGGATTAACTACAGACGGTGCAACAGCAATGTGTGGAGGAAAAGTGGGCTTAGTTGGACTAATGGAGGGGAAAATGCAAAAAATGAACTGTCACAGGCCTCTGATAACGTATCATTGCATTATTCATCAAGAATCTTTGTGTGGGAAGGTGCTAGGGATGGAGGACATTGTGACCACAGTCATGAAAACAGTGAACTTCATTCGGCTGCGCGACCTGGCTGACAACCGGTTCAGGGGGTCTCCCGTCAACTGCCCGAACACAGCTGGTATAGGCTCCAGCATGCCCCACTACCCTTGTGAGGATAAGCGGATCAGAAAATGGATGGATGTATTGGTGTCGAACCAAAATCAGAGAGGTAGAAGGTGCTAATCTAATGCAGGGGGTCAGTAACCATCCCTATGCACTACCGGGTGTAATCATGTCATCCAACAGAAGGAGGTGCATTATGGGAAATGGGGATGGTGTCTCACCTGTAGATGAAGACGTACTTCTGCAGGTCATCAGCAGACTTTCCCAGACTGGGGCTGGACACTGAGCCGTAGTGGTAATCGTCATACCTCCAAATTAGACAAACACACACACACACACACACACACACACACACACACACACACACACACACACACACACACACACACACACACACACACACACACACACACACAGTACTGAGCGTAAACCACGAGTGTCTCACACAATCAACCACTAACACAAGCATATTTTTGTTGCTAGGGGGTGTCTTCCCAACTTTTTAGAATATCTTTTAACCGATATACACTTTGCCTTTTTTGTTTTTATAACAGCTTAAACAAAATGTGTATTTTTGGACTTGCATTAAATGTGCCTTCTGTCTTTGGACAAACAAAATGTTTCTTTTCTCCATTTATTAAGTACTACTGTATTAATTACATGTGAATTCAGGACAAATACATTTTCCATATATTTTGGACTGTTGCGTTTCTTATCTTAAAGGGACAGCGTGTAGAAATTTCAGATTTTTTTTAATGCCATCTAAGTGGTGAACTAAAAGAATGCAACGACCTAATTTCGAAGCGTGTGCATTTTGAAGCACGCGTATGACGGTGGCTCAGAGAGGCCACACTTGGCAAGCCTACTTACCAATTTCTTCAGCAGAGGCGCAGAAAAATGTCATCACAAATGACTTCTATTATTTCCTCAAGTGACAAAATAAATGCACAGCATTTTTTACAGTCATCCAGGAAACTTGTGATTGGGTGATTTGTCTCCTTTGGCTATCCGCAGCAGAAAGATGGCAACGAAATGTCACTGACTACATGCACGCACACACACACACACACACACACACACACACACACACACACACACACACACACACACACACACAAAGACTAAACGGCCACGAACATCCACAATAATCTATGGTTATTATTTTATTTTATTTTTTTGCCAGACCTGTGTGTGCAAAATTTTTCAAGAATGTTTCGCCTTATTCACGTAATATTGAGAAGTCCCCCCCCCCCAAATTAATTAATTAATTAAAAGTACTTTTACATGTCGATGAATTCTCCAGCCCTACAATGTGATCATGGTATTTTGTGAATTTTACAAGAACCTTTGTAAAAAATCAACTGGCAGATTTCATTCTTACCAAAAAATAAACCACATGAATAATTTTCCATATGACAATAGAGAAGCATATTGGAAGGATGCCAGAGGGTCAATCACACCGAACATTGCCAAAGACATTGTTTCTATTTAAATATTATAAATGCAGCCATCTCGTTACCTCTGCGTCCCGCGTCCTTGACGTATAATTTTCCCGCGGGACGCACAGTTCCAAATAATGTGCGTTTTTGGGACGCAAGGAAATTTCTCAGTCAAAACAAACAAACAAAAAAAAAAATAAGGCAGGCCTGAGGATTTCACGGTAACGATCGTTACCGGTAGCATGTCGTTTCCGTGGCGTCATTTTGACGGTACCGAAAAATCGCTTCACCATAAAAGTCACCGCACACGTGTTGACTGTACGCGATCAAATCTCTCCTGTGTGATCAACGCAATTTCACTGTGCCTGTATGTGTGTTTGTGGTGCGGTGTGTGAGTGTGTTTCTTCTAATTTACTTTCATTTTGTTTTGTTTTCAGTGTTGGGGGGAAGGAACAGATAACGTTATGTGCGCATGCGGGTTGCTATTTTATTCCGCAAACTGAGGAATCGCGCTGATGAAAGTTTGAGATGGCGGCGAAAAAAACTCACAAAGGTCTACTAATTGCGACATTTAAGAAATGGTAATGCCAGTCTGATTTTTCGTATGAATCGTCCGAAGGGCGTATCACTAAACTCACCTGGGATGTATGCATAGAACACGAGAGCGAGATACGACGGGAGGCATGATTACGAGGCAAGTTGGTCATTAGATCTATAGGCTAATCGCTATGAAAAATATTGTGAAACTGTCTTGGTTATTCTATAATTTCCTGGTTGTAGCATGATAACTTTAGGAATAAAACATTTGTCACAAGGTGTAGTAATGCTAATGTTAACTGTTGGTTGAGCTAATAATGACGTGTTTTAGATTCTTTCGTCAAATTGATAGTAGATTACACATGCATCGTCTTGGGAAGAGGATGTCAAGCCAAATCAATACTTACCTGTATTAATGATTACCAGTAAATTAATCTTTGCAGTGTGAGATTGGAAAAAATACTCAGATTTTGTGGTATGCTGTATTCATGATGCAATATGAGTACACCATATTTTGATCCATTTATTTTTTTGAATAAACCTGGGGTACACAGCTGCTGATGTAATGTTCATTGTTAATGCATAGTTTTCAAACATTTACCCTTGAAACATTATACTTTTGAGTATCAGAATTCTTGATTATGAATATCAGTGAAAATAGAAAAATGGGTTCCCATAATGAACGTTTAGGGAACCCAAAATTAGTTACCGTGGTTTCCCATTGGGTAATCTGACGGAACCGAAAAACGGTTCCCGTGAATTTCCGAAATCCTCAGGCCTGCTACTGAATTATTTAAATATTTGCAGAATTTGTTTATAATTGTATGTATATGTTGTTTTTCGTGTTATTATCATATGCAATTGAATAAGTAGACCATTTCAGAATTCGAAATTTGGGACTCTCTAAATGCATCATGGGACTCATACTTTTCTGATCAGCGAGTCCCTGGGACTCGCTGGGGGTAAACTGTAAAATTATCACTGCAAATGGAATGATTTATTCACGTTCAAAACTTTTGAACTTTGCCAATGTCGCCATGACACACCTGTCCAACTCTCCTTGAGAAAAGAGTATGAGAGCTGGATAAGCTGCAAGCAGGAATGTTAGCTTTATCTGACATCACAATCATCTCAGCGCTCTTAATTCGCCCAAAGTTAAGAGTGACTGTTTTGTTTTACTGGTTAACTGATCAACATTGAGTAGATATGCACTTATTTTCAAACAACGGCAAGACACAATTTACCGTGAACCCCCAAGTTACGGCACACGGATGGCCTGGCTTACTTATTTGTTTGCCCTGTCTTTTAGTGTCCCTCTCACATTAATAGTATGTTAATTTTGGTTGATACATGTTTGAAATAAACAAGAAAAAAATATGTATGCATACAGCTCTCTGTAATCCAGTTTGAGAACCACTCATCACATGATTTGTCATGAGCAACACCCACCACCATACGGCACCCTCCACCTTGCCACGTTATGACGGTCCACATTCGGTCCAACAACCACACATGCAAGCGCCGCATCTACCAATTACAGGTCAAGCACTTCCACCAACCAGTCACTGAGTACAATCAACATGGCTGCTGTTAGTAAGCCCGTTAGTCGGGGCAGGGTTAAATGAACTCAGCTATCGATGATGATGATGATGATGATGATAATTAATTAGGCATGCACGATAATTATTGACCAGATAATTATTGACCAGACAATTATCTGGGCAATAGTAGGAATTATGACTTCAATAAATCCAGTAACATTGAAAAAAAAAAAAAAAAACAAACCTCAGATAAGCAAAGAAAGAAAAAAAAAATCCAAGAATGAAGATGAACACGCAATGAAGCCATACTTTTCTGTTGATACACTCTTTTCTAGACTTGACAGCAATCTGGTCGGTTGCATTAGACCGACTGATATTTTGTGATCGAACAAAATTATTCGTATTTAATTCATTGATAAATCAGCTCCGTGAAATAAGACACTTTTATCGCAGTGTTCCCCACAAATACATGTCTCTGTGGCGGAATATGTGAATTTAATAAATGCAACTGTCAATGTGATGACCATCAGTATATGCAAAAGTCCATCAATACACTACAGTACAATATCAGTGTCCCAGTTAAGGCTCAGAACTCCACAAGTTATTGATTCAAATAATTTTGAAAAGGTTCCAGTTTCCACCAAATGTTCTGCAAACATTCCGAGTTTGGGGGGGGGGGGGGATTAAACAAGACTACCCAAGAATTCCAAAATTCAGTTTCTAAATATACTGGAATTACATGACTTGACGAGTCCTCTTGTTTAAAAATTTGAAAAAAAGCATTTCATCACAATTGGCCTTTTTTGGAAGGAAAGCAAGGGGGGGGGGGGGAACAAAGCATCTTTTTGTTTCATGCATGCCAACCTGGCAACCCAGCCCATCACCTGTTGGTGCCAAATGGTGACCTAAACATTGACAGCAATATGAGCAACGATGAGGATCATTCATTTGAATTAATGTCTTACTTTCTTAATGACAGTGGCAAAAATAGGAAGGCAATACGCATGGTTTGAACCTTGTGGAATGAATACACAACGACAACGACATCTAACTTAAGAAGGCATAAGAAAACTCAACTAGCATTGCAGTTTAGCTAGCAATGCGCACATTGGTTTGGGACCAGTAAAAGATATGTGATTGTGAACATTTCAGTACAACTGAGTAGGATAAGTTGTGGTGGGATTGTTTGTCACTGATTTGACTGTAGTGTTTCCGTTCACATAGAAAGAAAACTCAAGATTGAAGTGACATTTTTTTCTTTGTTAAATTAGTATTCCCATCGAACTGATTTGCACTATAACAGTGAAAATACAGTAAGGAATATTTTGTTGAAGATTGATTTTCTACAGAAGGGGAATTGCTTAGAACATTGGCATATTTAAGTAAGAGTTCAAAAGACAGCTCCTATTATTTTTGGGGTTTTTTTTTTTGCTTGTTTCATTTTCTACCCATACAGGAGGTGGCATAATTAAAATTAGGGATGCATTATGTCTTGAAAAAAAAATTGCCGTTGTTGATAATGGCGCATGCTATGCAGAATGCAAAAGATGTGCAATGAATTAAAATGGAATTGCATGCTTTAACGTCATCTAACCAATCAGATGCAATCTTAAAGAAATATATATATATATATATTATGCAGGAACATCTGAATATATCCATCCATCCATCCATCCATTTACTGAACCGCTTTATCCTCCCATGGGTCGCGGGGCATCTGAATATATTATCTAAGTTCTATAGTGTGATTCATGCCACTAGTTATTGTTCTCTTCTTGGATGGCGATGCATATTTAATTAGGGCAGCCCGGCAGTCGAATGGTTAGCACGTCGACCTGTGTGGAGTTTGCATGTTCTCTTCGTGGCTGCGTGGGTTTTCTCTGGGTTTCCTCCCACATTCCAAAAACATGCGTGGCAGGTAAATGGAACACTCTAAATTGTCCCTCGGTGTGAGTGGGAGCAAGGATGGTTGTTCGTCTCCAAGTGCCCTGCGATTGGCTGGCAACCAGTTCAGGGTGGACACCGCCTACTGCCCGAAGACAGCTGGGATAGGCTCCAGCACGCCCAGCGACCCTTGTGAGGATAAAGCGAATCAGGGAATGGATGATGGATGGATGATCAGTCGGGGAAAAAAAAAAAAAAAACATTACTCCACCATATGTTGTCACTGAGCAAGATTTTATGACTTGTAACTTGCTTGAAACAAGTACAGTAATGGCTTACTTGACTTGATTTGTTTGCTTTTTTCCCCCCCACAGTGGCTTGGGACTTGCTTGAGACTTACAGTATTTGTGACTTACTCTTACCTCTGAATATCAGCTACTTAAAACATTTGGCACGAAAACAGTGTTTTGAAGAGCCTCCAAAGATGCCTGCGCTGCAAATAAACTGCCACTTTTTACGATGATGAGCCATTCAAAACAGAGTACAGTGATACCTCCGCTGACGAACGCTTAAGCTCAGGAACTTTTCGCCTCAAGAACATTAAATTTGCGAGCATATAGTCTCTGCTGACGAACTAGTTTTCGGCGGACGAACCAAACCACGCGGTCGAACAGCGCCACGGTGGCGGCCACGAGAAGCTGACGCACGCTCACGGCGTCCCAGTTCGTCACCCCCTTTCTTTGAGTGTGGACGTGGTTTGCGTTTGAGAGACATTTTGGACCATATTGAGTGTACTTTTGCTATTATGGGACCGAAAAAGACCCCGACACAGGCTAGTGTTAAGCCTAAGAAGACATTAAAGAAAATTACGATCGAGCAGAAGAAGGAGATCAAAAAAAAAAAAAAAACACGAACGAGGTGTGCGTTTGTGTGACTTAGCGTCCCAGTACTAGTACGCTAAGTCGACCAGTGCTACCATCCTTAAGATGGAAAGGATAAAGAGTCTCCTTCTGAGAAGGAAAGAAGAGAAGCCACACCGGAGGTTGAGTTACCTACAGTCCTTATGGAAGGTGACTCTCCTTCCAAACAGTAACTCCCTCCCTCCCTCCTCCTCCCACTCCATTCCATCAAGCCATCAACTACCATCACAAAGGTAAATAAAACGACTTTATTATACAGTACAGTTTATTTCTTTCATTACAATACAATAGCACATTTATTATACATAAAATAAGGTATATTTTTGTGTGGTTTTAAGTCTTATTTAGTAGAAAATTATGTTTTATGGGACCTGGGAACGGATTATTCTCATTTTAATGGTTTCTTATGGGAAATAAATGTTCGGAAGACGAACTTTTCGCCTCACACACACTTTCTGGGAACCAATTATGTTCGTGAGCTGAGGTATCACTGTATTTTCTGTAATAAATAAATAAATAACATAACTGCAACTCAGGACACAGATCTGGTTTTGATTTTTGTTGTGATTGAGGTAGGCGTCACATTTGACGAGCACAAAGGTTTGTGTATTTGTTTCCTCCACGTGTGCACAAACTACGTTCAGCTGAAAATTTTAAAATTGAAAAAGCTATTGCATCAGCTTGAAAAAGTATTGGCTTAAGAAAAAAAATATCGTGCATACCTAAAAACAACAACAACAATGGAAACTTATATTGCTCTTGTCAAGACACTCAAAAAGACAGACACGCACTCACACGCAGATTCTTTCAAGTCCTAATTTGAAAAATTCTTAATTAAATATATCATTTGTGATGTCGAGCCATACACAGAGCATCATAAGCCTCGAGTGACAGCTTCGAAGTCGGTCGATATGTTGCATTGGCAGATTGTGATTAATGCAAACGCAGCCAATCAAGATTAGTAGATTGGATTTCAAGCTTAATGCAAAAGCTTTGACGGCGCATGCTCGGAAAATCCATCATACCTTTGAGCTTCCCTGTTGAGGGTCAGAAAGCAGACATGACATCACTGCAAGGTTAAAGGTTACGACAAGCACCTTGTTGGTCCGAAAGCCTGACGCCTCTGACACCTCTAATGCATTTCGACAAAACTAATGATGACATGATGACCTCATGGACCACACGAACAACAACACATGAAGCATTTCCAGTTGCAAGGTCAGGAGGTGAAACAGTTTCCGCTGTCAATATCTTAGAAGCGCCTGGGATGCCATTTGACAGAGAAATAACTGTCATTCGATATGTTATAGTCTGGAGTTGTGTAATATGGACAGTCAACAGTGGTACCTCTACTTATGAACGTCTCTTCATACGAAATTTTCAAGTTACGAAACGGCTCAATAGGAAAATATTGCCTCTTGTTACGAAAGAAATTTCAAGATACGAAAGTTAAAAATACAGTATGGGCTGCTATTTGCAGCTCTGAGTTTCCTGAATGCAACATACTTATAGCTCCGATGCCATTGGCTATTACCAAGCATCATCCTGGCATCCCATTGGCTAGGAGGGACTTCTACCGTATGTGTCTGTGTGTGTAGATAGATAGATATGTGTCTATGCAGCGTCCTCGTCATTCGCCCCTTGGGCCACGAGGCGTTCCGATAGTTTTAGGTAAATGTGAATCACCCAGAAAAAGTGATCACCAGTCCGGCGATTGCTCACTATGCTGATGGTTGCCTTGCACATTTCCGAAGGACTGTTAAAAGCCAACAAAAGCAAACGTCCTTGAATGAGTTCTTTACAAAACGGCAGGCAAAAACCAATTCTGAGAGAGAACATGAACTAAAGAGGGCAAAAAACGATGAGGGCGCAGTTAAAAGTTAAATAACCATCCGTTTTATTTTTTAATCTTTGATTTTTACATTACGCACAACTGTTATTTATTGTGCAATAATCTGACTAACATGAATTTGTTACATATTTTTATGCATTTCTATGCTTTACAAAACATTTATGTCTGAATTTTGGGGCAGGGGGGTGGGTCTTGGAACGGATTAGGGCAGGGGTCCCCAACCGCCGGGCCGTGGACCGCTACCCGTCCGCGGGTCATTTGGTGCCGGGCCGCACAGAAAGAATAAATAACTTACATTCCTTCCATTTCATTCATTTCGGAATCTGAAAGATGTTTTATTTTGAAAAATTACCGGATTTTCTGTTAAATCAGTCTACAGTATGTCACTCTTGACGCAGGTGAATGCGCGCTTCTCGGTCACGTGATAGGTTACTGCATAAAAAACAAACGTCTTTGAAAAGTTTTTTTCCGGGAAGGGAAAAATGCCCAGCCAGGAGACAGAAGAGGAGCCTACGACTTTCAAGAAAGGCTACATTTCATAGACAGTATCAGGAGTCCTATTTCAAATACGGCTTTATCTCAACGGGAGATTCACACGCACCAAGCCTCCTCTGCATAATAAGTGGCCATGGTGTTGTCGTATGTTGCGGCCAGATAGGACGTTGATTCATGTCATGATTCGTGTTTATTATGTTTCAAAAAATATCACACTTTTCATGCAGGTCATATCATATATTGTTGTATCTATCCGGGCTTAAAGGCCAGTCCCTGAAAATATTGTCTGACATGAAACCGGTCCGTGGGGCAAAAGACGTTGGGGACCTCTGGATTAGGGGATTAAATGCCTGAGGATTTCACAGCAACAATCGTTTCCGGTAGCGTGTCGTTTCCGTGGGATCATTTGTACGGTACCGAAAAATCATTTCCCATAAAAATCAACGCGCACTAATTGACTGTACGCATGTATCCTGTGTGATCAACGCAATTTCACTGTGCCCGTATGTGTGTTTCTAGTGTGGTGTGTGAGTGTTTTTCTTCTATTCTACTTTCGTTTTGCTTTTACGAAGTGGTTGGGGGGCCGGAACAGGAAACATTATGTGCGCATGCGGGTTGCTATTTTAGTCTGCACACTGAGAAAGCATTTAGATGATGGATAGAGATGGCAGCGAAAAAAACACCGAAAAGTGTATTAGTTACTACATTTAAGAAATGGGAATGCCAATCGGATTTTTGTTTCGAATCATCCGAAGAAGGGTGTATTACCAAGCTGGCGTGTGATGTATGCACAAAACACGTAAGAGAAATATGACTGGAGGCATGATTCAGAGGTAAGTATTTGAAGTTGGTCATTTGATCTAAAGCAGCCTTCCTCAACTGGCGGACCGCGATCCACGACCGGACCGCCGACCTCCTCTGTCCGGACCCTCGGCAAATTGTATAAAATAATAAATTATAAAGTGATTTTTACGTTATACATTTTATATTTGTGGACTATAATCTGCGCATTACCGCGATCGCTTGTTAAAATTATCCGTTTTATTCTTTGCGTGCACTAACAGATGTATTGCAGAGGACCGCAGCAGCGCGACTGTGTGTTGTATAATGTTTGACTAACTGGAGACCCTGGCTGAGCAGGGCATGTCGGCGATAACGATGCGCTGATTGGCTCCTCTGAACTTAAGGTGTGCCCATACATAAGCGTCAGCACGCGTCTATCCCAACACACACGCATTCAAAATGGATGATTGTGTCAGGAAACAGACGCATGCGCGACGCCACAGTTGTGCTCACAGCTTCAGTCCAGGAGAGCTGCACACAGACAATTAGACAAGACGAATCGCGGGAGGTTTCGATTGTGTGCAGTTTTGCTCCCGTCTACCCGGGGATCTTTGCAGCTGTTTAACAGCAGAACACCGCAACATGGTAAATGAACATCACAATGGCGTCCTCAAATAATATTTGCATGCCTCAAACATTGCATTCACCTTTAGTGGAAGAACAGCACTGCACATTCCTGTGCTCCCTTGTGTCAGTTTTTAAAATGGTTCTTAACTCCTCTTCTGATATACCAGGCACAACTTAACAAAATAAAAGAGTTCCTGTGCCTCAACACAATACCTCTCATTATTTGCTGTGTACTGGCAAAGTGAATAATTGTTATTTTCATGCACCCCATTATTGGTTGGTTGTGAGGAGTGTTGATTTGTATAAGCTTGGCTTAACCATACTAAATAGGCATATAGCCCTGCTCCCCATGACCGCCGTGCATGGGACCGGACCTTGGTCTTATTAAAAAAAAAAAAAAAAAAGGGGACCTGCAGCATTTCTAGTTGAGGACCACTGATCTAAAGGCTAATCGCTATGAAAAATATGACAAAACAGTCTTAGTTATTCCAAAATTTACTATTTGGAGACATGGTAACTTGATGAATAAAACATTCGTCACAAGGTGTAGTAATACTAATGTTAACTGTTGGTAGGCCTAACGATGACGTGTGGTAGATTATTAGGTCAAATTGACAGTAGATTACACAGTGTATTGTCTTGGGGTTGCAAAGAGGATGTCAACCCATATCAATACTACAAGTCTATATATAGTAATAAGGTCATTTTTTAAAAGATTCATCACATGATTGTAATCATTCAATTCCTAAGACATGCTTTTGTATTAATAAAGGGGGTGAGTAGCCATTGATATTATGTTTATTTACATAAATAGTACACACACATAATAATATTAAAAGTGTCGGGTTTACTTGTGGCCCATGGTATATAGCCAGATTTTGTGGTATGCTGTATTTATGATGCCATATGAGTACAACAAAAGTGTTAAACAACATATTTTGATCCATTTATTTTATTGAATAAACCTGGAGTACACAGCTGCTTATGTAATTATGTTCATTGTTCATGCATAGTTTTCAAACATTAACCCTTTAAATACTAAACGGTACTTTTGAGTATTAGAATTCTTGATTATGAATATCAGTCAAAATAGAAAAATGGGTTTCCATGATGAACGTTTACGGAACCCAAAATTAGTTAGTGTTTTCCCATTGGGTAATCTAACGAAACCGAAAAACAGTTTCTGTTAATTTCTGAAATCTTCAGGCCTGCATTTACATGCAAAATGCGTGTCTACTTACATTTTCCAGCTAAGAAATTTCTTCCAGAACCAATTAATTTCAGAAGTAGAGGTACCACTGCATTCGAGATTTCCGTGCTGATAGCGTTCGAGATCCAATCATAAATTTTTACTTTTTAAAGACAAGCGCTCCTCCAGCCAACATTACGGTCTGCCGCCTGATATTTCCAGCTATTTAACTATTTCTTCAACCTTTTTTTTATTTTTTTATTTACACAATGACTTTGGCTGATGTTAAATGCTCTTGATATAAGTTCATAGTTCAACAGCCGTAAATAAGTTGTCACACTTACCAAATACGCCACCTTCCTCATTCCCCATTCACCAAACACGCTTCTTTGTATCTCGGTTTCTGCCAATATATCATAGCTGGCTGCGCCCACAGACTGCAATAATTACTTTGTCCTACATTGTGTCTCCATGCCACCTTGCAGGTACATACACATGACGTGTTTATTTGCCAAGTGCATGACCAAATATAGTAATTTCTGGACTAGAAGATGCGACTTTTGTTACACACAACTCTGCGGCTTATTTAATGAAGCGGCCTATATAAAGATTTTTGTAAAGGCCGCCAGGGAGCGCTCGAGCAGAAAATTTAAGAGTGAGACAAGTTGATATGTAAGTGTCGAGGAAGACGTTATCATCTGTCACACTGAAAGCAATTGGCCATGAGAGGGCGCATTTTACCTGTGCACTGCATCCACCAAGGATTACAGTGATCCCTCGCTACTTCGCAGTTCGTTTATCGCGGGTTCACTGCATCGGATTTTTTCAAACACATTAAAAAAAATAAATATTTTTTTTGTTGCTGTTTATATATATATATAAAAACCTGTTTACGTTAATTGGACGCTATTTCGCGGATTTTCATTTTTCACGGGTGGTTTTGGTCCCCATTAACCGCGATAAACGAGGGATTACTGTACTATGCCAAAAAAAACCCTCCCGAAAGACATTGTTGTGAAAGTTGACAGGAAAGCGTGGATGGTAGAAAGCCTAATGAAGGAATGGTTAACCGAATATTATCACAAGCGAGGATTTTTTTCATTGAAAAAAAGCATTACTCGACGGCGAACAGTGACTTTTTTTTTTTTTAACTAGCCCTGTTGGTGCTGTTTTACTGCCGTGGTGCTGCCGCGTTACAGGGCACTATTTGGAAAGGTAAGTTAAGGTATGTTATTAAAACTTTGAAAATGCTTTCTCTGTACCGTCTTTCTTTGTAAATATCTCTGTAAAATACAGTATATCTGTCAAATGTGGGCACCTGTGGCTTATAGACAGGTGCGGTTTATGTGTGTACAAAATGTTTCTTCCTTCAAAAATGTATAATCAGGTGCGCTCTATAGTCCGGACATTACGGCAAATACATTCTTAATGCAGATTGGCTGTCTTGACGCGATCTGTGTGTTCCTGTAATTGCGCGAATGTGCTTGCATCCACCGGTGTCACCTCGAACATGTCATTTGTGCCGCCTGACACAGATTCAAACTCATCAGCAAAAAGTGCAATTGGATGTCATTGCATTGCAAGAATAGCTGAACTCCAGTTCGGTCTAATAGGTCGCATTAGTGGTGAAATTCATTCATCATTTACGGTACCTAATTAATTCCAGCAGACAGTGAGACCAATGACGAGTTTGACTCTGTCCTTGTTTGTCACCATTTGTTTACCTGCCTACCTTAAGCTAAAACACCACCTTACAGCAAATGCAGAAGTGCTGCGTGCATGAGTGGAGAATTTTTTTTTCAATATGGACACATTAAGAGGGGTAAAGCAAGGCCCTCAATATCAGTCTCACACCACTAACTTACAGAAAGGAATGTGACAACAGTTAGTCGTAGTCCAAGTCAGTCTGGCTTAAATCAGTACCTTCCACTATACCTGTTGAGTGATGCCAGCAGTGTTTTGACAAAGAAGCCATCAGAAGCCATCACTCCCTGGAGGAATGTGACGTCACAGCGAGAAGTGATCTATACACATGCACAATTTTGAGCACATACAAAGTAAGACTGCAAGTAATGTGTGTGTGCATGTGTGTTGATGTGCATCTGGAAGGTACCCGTGTAAGCGTGTGCAGCAGTCTCTTATGTGGCGCCTTCTGAGAGTCGAGCTTGTGCACATTGCAGGCACAGATCCTGAAAGCTGACGCAGCGCCACCCCAGACCACCACACACAGGAAGGTCAGCCAGAGACCGTGGTAAGCAGCACTCCGCCTCATGATCAACTGTGAAAGACAACACACATGAACCCTGTTTGCAGAGAAGTGGCACTTGAAGGAAGTCTGGTCACATACATATACATATTCATATACATATACATTTACATATACATTTGGGGTGTAACAAAACATCGATTTAAACAATGTTTCTGCCCTCGTCCAAGCTACATCGATAGACACTCGACCATTATTTTTGATCAATTTGAATTGATGTAACAAAATTTTCCACTCAATTCACAATGCCCCTTTATTTTTTATTCAGGTTTGGGTGTTAGTTTTAGTAATCTTTCATTTTTCTCTCATGTATGTCATCTCTGGTCAGCGCCGGAGATTTAAGTTCGGCACGCAGTTTAGATCATAATAGATCAACATAGATCAGGACGGTGAAGAAAGAAATTTTTAAGGCGAAGCAATGCGTTTGTTTCAGTAGAAAGATTGGAATTTGCAATAATGGAGATGGTCTTGACAAAATGGTAGCCATTTAAAGTCTTACAAATACCGAGTAAAACGTTACAGGAACAAGACTATTTGTCAGTGTGTCTCAGCAATCACCATGGCATCACAAACAGCAACAAACCTGTGAAGAATCAACAGCGGCAGCAGCCGTGCAAGGTCGTGACACAGACCAAAAAGGTGTTGCTGCCTTATTTGTGCAAATACTCAGTCATAACAAGAAGTCCAAGAGGGCGCCCGAGTAGGCAGCCGTCGGCAAGTGCTCTCATGAGCCTTGCTTTTTTTTTTCAGTTTTTGTGTCTTGTTTTGTCACTTTGTGTTTGTTGTTGCGTCGTGTGGACCGGATGTGGATTGTTTTTCAGCATTTTTTGGCCATGACATTCATCAAGGAGGAGACTCGGCGGCATGGGTATACCAGCACTGTTTTTGATTGGGAGGAATGTCAGTGCCATTTGACTGTCATTGCTGGACAGCTCCGGGGCGCTTGTGTTTTTTTGCGCCTGGAATGGGCAGCATTTTTCACAGCCCCGCTTTGTTCAGCGGAGAGGTCGGTGCTGTTGGACGGTCTGCGGCTGGATGGATGCATGGCTTGAGGAGCCGACGAAGAGAAGAAAGGAGTGTCAGCTCAGAGCGCCGATGCATATGTGGAACTGGGAGTCGCAGCTTGAAATTGAAGCGGATTACGTGGGACAGGAGATGTGAGCAAATCTCTTTTCGTCAATGGACGCTACAGCTTCGTGTTTGCTTTCAAAACTTAGATTGTAGCACACGTGTGCACATTTCAGCATGATGTCGGCAACCCAAAATGTTGAAAGAGCCGTATAGGACAAAAAAAACTAAAAACAAATATGTCTGGAGCCGCAAAAAAATAAAAGCCTTCTATAAAACTTAAAATGAAGGAAACACATGCTGTATGTATGTAGGAGACTGGACTGTCTCAGAATTGTTTGTTATTCAATCCTTTATTGTGTGTTCACAAACGCCCCCATAGAATTTATGTTGTGATTTCCTCGCTTGAATTTCTGTTTTACTGCATTATTTTCGCTTTTCTTAGTGTCAGTGAAGTGATCATGAATTTCCGTTTTTCGGAGGCTGTCTTTGAACGCCTCTCGAGTTGAACGTGAAGTGAGAAGGCACGGAGTCAGACGCAGACGTGTCTGTGTTTGTCGAGACTGTTAAAAGCATAAATAAAGCGTACGTTTTAAGAAACCAACACCACAGCTCTCCTTTTTCGGAGCTGCAACATGTATCTATATCTATTTGAGCTATATTCGCCTACTATCAAAATCTTTTTCCATTTTCCCAAATTTTTTATAAAGCTCCAGGGAGCCACTAGATGTCGCTAAAGAGCCGCATGCGGCTCTGGAGCCGCGTGTTGCCGTCCCCCGCTCTAACCGCTCGATCACCAGGCCGCCTCGCAGTAGCACATGCAGTATGCCTGCAATGTTCCTGTTAGATTTGTAAAACTAGGGCATTTTTTTTTTTTTACATTGTTCAGGAAGTGAATTTCCATTTTCCATTCCATTTACAGCTTTGTTAATGTGATGCGGTCAAATATTTTGGTGTAACTCACTTTAGCGCTGGTGCAACCAAGAAAAAAGTTGGGCTCAACAGTGCAACAAAAGGTGAGTTTAGACCCCTGTAAGGTAAATAAATGAGATATGACACCGGAGTTTATAGCCGCTCTTGCTGAGAACAAGATTGTTAAAACAAAATTGAAAGAATAAAGCCACTGATGGTAGCTTACACTCTAAAAATGACACGTGTACACACACACACACACACACACACACACACACACACACACACACACACACACACACACTGTGAATTAAATTAATGAGTTAATGGCTCCTCCAGTTTGAATTTGGAATAGATTTAAATTGTAATTTCACACTTGACCGCTAGAGTGCGCCAGACCCAATTTAAATTTAGGACACAGTCCACACAAATGCAGTGCATATGATACAGAATGATGAGCCATGTGATGACTTGGTGATGTTCGAAAAACCATATAAAATGATGTGCTATGGATTATACAAATGTAATGTTGATTGTACCGTATTCACATGATAAGATCTATTGTGATCTTGCTTAACAATGCATTCTGATGGCTTGACTAATGTAATTGATGCTTTACTATTCGTTCGAAGATGCTTTACCTATTGACTCAGTCACTGTTTCATATTTGTTAAATATTTGATGTGTTTAATGCCCATGTTCATGTTATTCTCACGAATAGGACGTGTTAAGATTGTGCAAAGTGTTCGGCCTGTCCCTATATTGGAGAAAGTGATACATATCAGTGGCGGATGCTGGTCTGTCAAGGAGGGGAAGCTCAATTTCGGCCTACATCATAAAATGTGTCCGTTTATATGTGAATTCTACTCTCCGTTCCTTTTCTAGAAAATGATCTGTGACCCTGTCGGACCAACAAGGCGTCTTTTCCAGGAACTTAACTAGTGTCCTATAACTACAGCAACTACAATAAAACCCACCAGAAATAAAAGATTAATTTGTCGCTAGTCGTTTTCAACAAAGAGAGTGTCGCTAAAATGATGAGAAGAAGTCTCCAGTTCAACTCAGAAGAGAATGAGAATTGGAAGTGCGCCCGCGGATGCCTCCACCAAAAGATTAGTGATTGGCTCATTTTGCTGTCAATCAAAAAGAGATTCCGCCTCAGACAGATCATACAATCATCATGCAGAGAAGCTGAGCGTCCGAGCCAGCCCATAAACGCCCACTGTCCATAGACTCCCAGAGACGCTGAGCATCCGATGGGCGGGACAAAACCAGCAGTTATCCAATGACTCGTCTCGTTTCAGTGCATTGGGCCAACCTACACTGAAGTCTCGAGATGCCCAGCGTCCGCACTGTAGACGCTCAGCGTCCACACAGTTTAAAGCACAGTGAAGCTGTGGGAATGAATGAGAAGAGAGTCGCGTCGTAACCAGCAGTGGCGGACCCTCAGGGCCAGCAAGGCCTTTTCTGCTGGCCTAAACATTCTCAGAAAAGTAAATTTACTTTTCTGAGAATAACATAAATTTGTTATTTTATTTTCATAAATATGTTATAAAAATTATTCTCTGTATTCTTTACATCATATTATTTCCACTTAGTTGAGTGGCTTTCAATGTTATTTTAAATAACATTGAAAGCCACTCGATAGATAACTTATTTATTATGGTAGAGTTTTTAACCAATCATATTTCAGCTAGCTGGTGTTGCCAGGTAAATTAAACTTGCACGGGGCCTTCAGATCAAACAGAGCAGGCCCCTGTGTGCTGTAAATTAATGGGCACAGTCAGGCTTCAATAGCCAATCAGATCACGAGTCTCAGACTCGTGATCTGTATCCTGTATCCTGACTTGTTCTCGTCTGCTACTAGGGCTAGCTAGAAGGCCTTACGT